TTGTGGTGGTGGTGGTGGTGGTGGTGGTGGTGGTGGTGGGGCTTGGAGAAGACCAGTCGTCGGCCATGAATGAATGGATGGTGTTGGGGAAATTGAAGGAATGGAGATCGGCGGGGAAGTCGCCGGAGATCTGGTACCAGTTGATGTCAGGAGAGAAGTCGTCCCAGGTGTTATCGTCGGTGGTGGTGGAGCTGGAGGAGGGGAATATGAGCTCCGGCATGTTTTGCATGACTATTTCCATGGGTTGATATTCTTCTCCCTGTTCTTCTTCCTAGCAGGGGGAGCTCAGAGCTCGCGTATTTATACAAATGGAGGAAAGTTTTGGTTTTTGGTTTAGCGAAGGCTCGGAACTAGCTTCCAAGGAAATGAATTAAGGAAAAAGATAAGCTTTGGAGAGAAGTTTTATTAGACTTTAATTAAGATGTATTTTTTAAAATTTTTATTTCTATAAGTTTTTTTTTTTATTTTTTGGGTGTGAGAGAGATGAATAATTCAACCGGAAACTTTGGAAATATTTAAATAAGTGTTGTAAAAAAAAAAGATTATTGTTTATGTATTGCTTTTTATTTTAAAATTGAATAAATATCATATTGGATGTGAATCTCTTAAGGTAGGTTTGGGATAGCTATAGCTGTTTGAAGAAGTAGCTGAAGAAACAGTCGACCATCAATAAACTGTAGTTGTTATTACAATTTTTTTTTAGAAAAAGTCAAACTGCAAATTTCTAGCAGCCACCCTACTTAGCTGTTCGGTTGAAAAAAAGTAGCTTTTAGTTGACAGAGTTTTACCAAACATAAAAAACTATGGTAAGACATCACAATGTCACCGCACTGTCAGTCCAAACACACCCTTAAACTTATACTGCTTAAAAATTGGCGGGGATTTTTTTTTATTATTATGAAACAATTTTTTAATTTTCTTGATAATTATCAATATGGTAGAACAAAAAAATATTGTAATTATTTTAAATCTTATAAAATTTTCAGTCAAATATATTACAAACATTAAAAATTTATTAAACTTTCGTTGGGGCTACACAATATTAAAATATTTTATATGTTGTAACAAAATATCTTCTCGCACTTGCATTATATTTTAATGTTTAATAAGATTTAATTTAATAAAACAAAAAATAAAAATAATTAAAAATGTTTACTTTCATAACATAAATTTTCAACTTAGAAAAATAAAGAATTATAATTATTGAAAATAACACAGAGATAATTTCTTATTGAAAATAACGCTGTCTAATTTTACACAAATAAGCAAATATGTTCTTTATTTTCAATAAAACAGTTTGCGTAGCACAACATTACCAAATAATAATAATAATAATAATAATAATAATTAATGCATTTAATATGCTCTTATATCATACAAATAATGCATTTAATATTCCCAAATCTTTTAAGGTTATTTATGTATCATCTTTGTGATCTTCTTCGACTAATCAAAACAACCCATGCGGATAGTAGGACCCATCTATTCGCCTCGAGAGAGTTCTCTCAAGGTTTTCATATATGCCTGCTAGAATTGACATTCTAGGCGATTTGGTCAAGCTTCCGTGGTCGAGTAGTAGAAACAGATTATCTTAGATGAATAATCCTATGGCATTCCGGGAGGAAATGCTTGGGCAAATTGACTGGACAAAATTGTTTTGTTAGTTCGACAAGTTGATTGATTTTATCATTTACACTCATCTAAGAGTTTTTGGTCATACATATTTAGTTTCTCGATTTTCTTATCATTTTTAATATTGAAGTCACGAGAAGAAAAATAGTAATAATCTCTATTAATCTAAAAAAATAAACAAACAACCTAATTTTAATAATATTCTAAGAATTTGGGCCCTCCACCAAGTTTCTGTGAGCAGATGGAGAGGGGAGTTGATTGGGATGCCCTTCTCTGCAAGTCTTCTTCTTTTTTAAGAGTTTTCTTCCCTTCATGCTAATTCCATTTGCTATAAGAAATGGAGAATATCTCAGAGGCTAAGGTCATGATTATTCATGACCAAGCTAAGGGAGTGGCTGTTTGTAAAATGAAAGGAGGAAATAATGAAAAAGAAGCCCAGGTTTTTAAAGGCAATATCAGTAGTATGCTAAAAGATACATCTTCTGAGACCCCTCCCATCTATACTTAGACTAGTGTGAAGTACTCGATGGTGGAGAGCCAAGTTATCGCTGAAGAGGGTATGATTTCAAATCCAAACCAGATCGAATTTAGTGGACTAGACAACATTCAAACTCTTCCACACATAGAGTTAATAGAAGGTATGAGATACATTAATTAAATTTTTATAAATGAGTACTGAGAATCCTAATAAGGTAATGTTATCTTTATAATTTACTTCATGTTTAGTGAGCTAATGGGAAACAATTACCTAGTAGGCTGGTGTGCTCGAGGAAATGATGTGGGTGTATTGAATTTAAATGAGGCATTCACATTTCTAGTGAGACGAAGTGATCCAATTAAAGGCCGAGTTCAGCAGAGTGCTCCGAAGTAAGTTGCTTCTCCTTCATTACAAGAGGCCCCTCCTACTGTTGCGAAAGAGAACCCACTCTTTATATGTGTAATGTATTTGAGTTCAATTGTTAATTTTTAATAAGTTTAAATTTGAATATCTTAGTTATCATATCTATTGTTAATATCTCTTTTGAGAGAGTTATAGTTGTGCCCTTTACATCACAATATGTGTGTTTGGGTGTTGAGAAGCTAAGCATAATTGAGGAAATTTAGTGTTCTCAGTTCTTCTATTATTGTGGACAAGGCTTTGCTCTTACAATAGCTGATTGCATTGAAGGGTATGATGGCGGAGTTGAAGGACACAAATAGCAAGCTACAAAAGGAAATAGTTGATGTGAATATGATTTATTGAAATTCCAAAAATAATTGGACTCCACCTATCCATAAAATTTTATGACTGAAGTGGCGTGTCCAAGCTAGTCAAATTCCTATGTAGACTGCCTCAGGCATATGTTTTTAGTTTATTATTATTTTTATCTACACATTGGAGTGAACACAATTAATGGGTTAGATAGATTGCTCATATTGTTTATATTGCATTGATTAAAATGATTTTTTTTAAATAAAGGAAAGATTTTACTCTATCTCTTGATTTTAATGTTAGATTTGATGGCTCTAAAAACCCAATATGATCAATGATGTTTCATATATGTAAACTTGTTTTTATGATTGTATCCTTGTTATGATTATTTTTTCCTATATATAATGACATCTATAATTGATTTTAAAATTGTATAAATTATATTTGAGATAAGTGAGTTTGTTATTATACATTATCATCCTATGTAAAAAGTTTTGGTTTCTCATATGCTCCATATTTCATCCACTTTATTTGATCAATGTTAGACATCTCACTATTCACATGAAACAAGGCATTCATGGTGTTGGAGTTGTTTGGTTGAATAAGAAAAGTTTATTTTTGAGCTAGTGATCTAGCTTTGGATTCAAAGAAGGGAGAGTTCCCCAAAATTTCCTACAAGTTTGAACTTCTTTTGCGCAAGGATCAATTCAAACTAAGATTAGGACTTCCCCTCTATTGATAAATTATCAATATTGTTAACTATAATAACATGAATCTAATGCATGTGATGTCAAACTCATTTGAGGTAATCACTGCCCTATTATTGTACATGAGGAAGACTTGAATTCATTGGTACATAGAGCTATTTTGCTTCCTCATCACAATTGTAACATATGAAGATATATTCATCCAATTATGTGTAGTGAGGAACAAAATATTCTGTGTGAAGAGTACAATCAATAATTGAAAGAGAAAATAATTCTATGCCTTTTGTATGAGTGATTGATTGATTACAAATCATTCATGCAGAACAAATTCACTATTGTGCTGACTTCAGATGAGAAGAAGAAAATCATGACTGAAGAAGATTGACTTACAAATAATATTTTCTTAGAGTATAGCTTTATGGGGAGGACTATAAATCATAAATTAATTTCCTTAATTTTTTTGTTAATTCAAATATTTGATTTTTTGCTTTTAACGCTAGGATGAACTCTCCAACGATAATGCATTTAATTTATCTTTCTTGTTTTATAGCCCCTCTTTATAGGTTATTGTATTTCTATATGAGAAAGGGGCCAAGTCACCCCTGGTTTGAATGGCAATGGAATAAGTTATATTTGATTTTTACAATTCAACTTCAATGTGAATACCTATTAATTGTCTTACATATTATTGGTTTTAGTAGGAGAGAATTAAGCTGGGAAGTGGAGGGCTTTTCCTTTTAGTTAAATTTTCTTACATAGTCTCTATAACCTCTGTAGAGGTAATTCTATAGAAGAGATACTTTATTTAGCTCATAATAAACATATGAAGAGCTTCACAATGTTGCTATCAATTTATATACATGATCAAATAAAAAGATCAAAAGGAAGAAGAGGCCATCAAGTTCATGAAGCAGGATCTTGCCTAGTAAGGAAAGGGGAAAATGATTGCTGAAGCTCCCAACAAAGATTTTGATCATATCTTTATGAGGATAAAGACATGTTTATTTTTGGTTCTATTTAAAAGCTCCAAGTCACCAGCTTTTCTATATATATGTCATTGATGTATAATTCCCATTTCCCAATAAGTCTCCTTCCCAAATCACATAAAATGTTCTAAAAGGTGATGAATCATAAAAGAAGGGATATACGATGAAAATAGACAAACAAACTTCAAAAAGAAACATGGAAGGCTTATCTCCAATAATCCTCATATTATAGGTCAAGAGTATACATTCAAGCAAGATCAGATCAAAATACCTCGAAACACAATTCTACGAAGAAAATCTCTACATAAGTCACCAATAACTAGTGAACCAAAGAGTACTTTTTTGTTCAGCAGTCAAGAGTACTCTCAAAAAGATGTATCCCTTTGGTTAATTACATCTTGGGGAATACCCAATAATACTCTTGATAAAAATGGTCTTGCTCACA